ATTTTCTATTAGATAAATCTTTTTCTATATTATTATGTTTTTTCATTTTGGTTTTTCAGCATGTTTCTTGACCTCTATATTCTTCTTTATTATTTTATTATTTTATTATTTTTTATGTTTTAAACTTAGGACTTAGGAGATGATGATACAAGATGGGAAAAGGTAAAGAGCAGAAGACAAGATTTGAATTGTAAGTTCTCTATTTACCATCTATTTTAGCAAATTGATATTATAGCCTTATGAAGAAAGTACTTGCATGGTGTGTCTAGCATCTATAATGTGAAATTTATAGTAGCTCTTTAGGAAATTGGTTGTTTTGGTAGTTTATGAATTATGAGGTAAAATTACTTTCGTTTCGTTAATTGAACCTATCTTCTTTTATTCCCCTTTTTGGTTCTTGATTTAAGTGGATGATCATTGGCAAGAAATTGACTGGGAGATTAAATGAAGAAATGACCAGCTTACAAAATCAGGTTTGTACCAACGAGGGGTTGGATCAAGTGGCAAGCGGCTTGTTCCAGCTTAAGCAAGGTCTCGAGTTCGAAACCTTGTGTATGCAGCAGCCTTCGTTGGGAGACCCACCCACCATTCTGGTGCGCCACAGCTGGTCGAGTCCGGAGTAGTCGGGGCGAAGCCCCGGATACCGGGCGGGAAACCAAAAAAAAAACAAAATCAGGTTTGTGGGCCTCGATTAATCTTAAAGCTTTTCTTAAGACTATTGTATTTGTCCTTCCAGCTGGAAGAATTGGGGAATCATTTAAAAGGTTTTAACACATGCTAAGGATAACAAAAGGTAAAAAGGGGAAGAATTGAAAAGGACAGCAAGAAAAGGCAATTTCCTCTCTAAACCAACCTTTTCTAGTTAGCTGTTGCTTCTTCATTTCTTAAAAAAATTATTTTTTAGCTTGCTTTATGAGTGAATTATTTTTCTACACTAAAATTAATATCTGTTTATAGTTTGCCCAAGGAAAAAATTGACTAGAATATACAAAAGGTGAGTCCTTCCAATGTCCCATTTTGCCCTTTCACAATACACACTCGAACTGGAATTTTTTGTCTTTTCACTTGATTTTGCAAAGAAGTGTTGCTGATGCTTGACTATTCATTGTCCTCACTCACAGATAACTGTTTATAGACGCTCAGAACTCATTGGGAATATAAGATTAGATTGGATTGGATAAGATTTAAAGAATAAGATTGGATTGAATTAGATAAGATATGATATATTAAAATCTTATAAAATATTTGGTTGATTATTTGTTTTCCAATTCCCTGTTCGTAGTTTGGATATAATGAGAACATTTGATTTTTCTTTTTCGTTTTTGTAGATTTAAGGTATCTAATTTGGAGTTGGTTTTGGGAACAGGGTGTCTATCTCACATTTTCCCTTCTTTGAGTTGATATGGGCTACCTAAACGATATACTTCCTTTCCCTCTTTTCATTTTTTCTTGAACTTTTGTTTTCACCATATTTTTTTATCTTTTTATTTTGAAGCTGTAAGGTACATTATGCTTTGTGCCTTAACTAGATGCTATAGCATATTTCTATTTTAGTTGGTAAAGCTCAAGGGATGGAGAAGTCATTAAACTTCATAATAGGTACGTGCATCTCTCTCTATTCCTTGATTTCTTGGTTCTTTTTCTTCCTTTTGACTTTTTGTGGGCTAATTTATGGTCTACATATTAATTTGCTTTTTATGAAATGAAGGGGATATCAGTATGTTTTCTAGGATGCTTGAAGAACATCTTGGAGGAGGATGAATCATTCCATCCATTTTCCATTTTCTGATTCCATTTTGCACTGTTTTTTGTGGATGCGTAGGAATGTTTTCATGGGTTTAGAGAGGTTTGACTTTTAGTTTTCTACAATATGATTTTTTTAGTTTTGCTAAAATTTTCTAATACTATATGCATGCCAACGTTTAAGCTAGAATGCTTTTTCTAAATTCCAACTAAGTATATAAGTTTATGATGAATATTGGTGTAAGAATAAGTGAAATATCACAGTTGAATTGTCATAGGCTTGATAAAATCTGGAAAAGCTACAACAAGGCTTCCTTGCTTACTCATTCCATTCTAAGAGTTGACTTGAATGAGAATTTGACTCTTTTGGAGGTTTATTTTGTTTGTTTGTTTCTTATTCCGAAATTGATTGTTTCAATTAAATTCTCTGCACATGTGCATGTGCATTTACGATTAAATTCTGATTTTATATAGAACTTGCATGCACGTTATCATGGTAGATTTTTGTTTGAATCTAAGAAATCATACATTTTGGGACTCCATTGTAGTCGAGAAGAAACGGGTTTTTGTTTTTACGTTTGTGGAGACCTCATCACATGGTTAGGTTTTTGTCTTTCAAGTACCAGGTTAATAGGTTATTAACGGGTGCCTTTGTTATTTTCAAAATTTTTAGTTTCTCTTATTGTATAATATATTTGTTGTTCATGAACTGCATGGGCATGGGGAAAAACTTTCACTAAAATAGGTGAAGGAGAATTAAAAATATTGTCTCCTTGATTTAGTCGTGTTTTAAACTTCTAAGTCTTCTAATGTCTTTTTGTGTTTTAATATTATGCCATTCAGACATTTTTTAAATCATGGTGTCTTAGTGTTTCCTAGTTTGGTTTTGTTCACTCTTCCATGGTGGAGTTGAGAAAGCAAAGTGCCCAAAGGTGAGGAAAGGAGCCCACTAGAGATTGAGCAACAAAGGTTTGAGATTGCATATTCAATATTTAGCAGTGACTAATGTTATGAATTTAACATAATCCTTTTGCATGATTTCATAATAACACCGTCCTTAAGAAGCATATTAATTTATAAACATATTTTTAGGATTGTTTAAGAATATTGCCTAGACATGATTTGAGCAGTGCTAAAACATAGAGGGCAGACAAACAGGAGAATGTTTAAGAATATTGCCTACACATGACTTGAACAGTGCTAAAACAGAGGGCAGACAAACAGGAGAAAGGAAGAGAAAATTGGTAGCAGGTCTAGCAAATCCATCATTCTGAATTACATGTGTGCTTTGTTGTTTGGTAGATGGTTAAACTTTCTAATTGGTTCTGTCCTAACTGATGCGCTAAAATTACCCTAAAAAGTGTACTAGTTACTCCAAATAATATAATGATAAATAAAATGTCAAACCCATAAGGATTGCGATTAACTAATTATCAAAATAATTAATTCAAATTTATTTGAACAATTGAAAAAGAAGAAATTTTAATTAAAATTAATAAAAAAAATAGTAATTAAAATAAAATTAATCAAGATATGAGATATTAAGGTCTCAACTTCACCATAATCAATTAATATAGATTTTCAATTATTATATTTTTAAGATATTACTATTCATGTGAGAGCGGGATTTCCTATCATATTCAATATACTTTCTCTAGTTATACCAAACATATCTTAATCTATTAACTCAGTATATCTCTATCTGAATTTAAATAGATAAAGATGCTTTATGTTTTGTGAAATTCCTTAGTTTACGTAGAAAATTAAGTCCACTTATTACTAATGCTGCACAAATCACGTTGGTCCATCTCTGGCTTTCGTTCAATTTATGGTATATATTATTAGAAGTTATTGTATAAAATCTCCTCTCGGTATCAATTATGCTCTCCAAATCAATTTTAATGGTGATCAAACATTAAAAAATATTAAGAACAATAATATTTACTCATCATGGAATAACAATCTCAAAAGTGTAAAAATCATAGAAACCCATATTGAATTAATTAGGTTACATCTTAGTCCTAGTTGACTAAATTAGTTCATGATAAAAATAATAAAACTTGAAATCATAATTATGAACATTCGAATATCAACTAATAAATAAAAAGAATTCAAAGAAAAACAAACTTAATTTGAGGGAATTAGACTTTTGATCTTCTATTCTTAATGAAATATTTATCTTGATCTCCAATAATGCTTAAAAAAAAGTTGCAACCAATCTCTCAAAACTCTCTTAATTCTGAATTTGGACCGGTATTTATAGGATTTTAGAAATTATAATTGAAATAGAGGTGGGATCCACTCAAAATAATAAATTTGTGAAAATTGCATGCGGGGTCAACGCCTTCGACACTTTCTGTCCAGCGCACGACCCACCACCGTGTCGGGTTTTTGTCCTTCTTAGCAATTTCTGTAATGGTAAAATAACAATCCTGGTCCCTGACTTCTAGATTCTGCACAAGTTGATTCTCAAGTTTCTGATCTCTGCAATTTATTTCTAAGAATTATGATTTCTTCCAATTAAGTCCTTTCCTACACAAAGAATAAAAGTTATGTAAAATCAAGTAAAATCTCATAAAACTCATCCAAATATCAACAATATCAAGGCAACAATTTCACATTAATATGTATATAAATTCAGCTCATCACTAGCAATGAAATTTTTTTTTTCCATAATTGAACTTAGAGAACAGTTAAGAGTATCAAGTTTTTGGGATAACAGAGGCAATCACCAAAGTTATGCTTTGTATTAAAATTAATTTCAAAGTGGAAAAATTTTGAAAATATGGAAGCCAACGGGGGCAGAATGGAATCCAAGGCAGCCAGTATGCTAAAGAAACTGTAGACATGCCCATGATCATATGGATGGACAAAATTACTTTAGAGGGTATGGCCATGCATCTACCAAAAGGTCACGAGGAAAAAGCCTGTTTTGGTGGACAACCTGTTTCCAAAGTGTAATTATTTCTAAGAATTATTTGTTTTATATTCGCCCTTAATTATATGTGCAATTGATGGAATATATGTAGGTGTAAGATAGATTTCATCTATCTTAAAACAAACTCGAGGATTGTTGATTTGAAATAGATATTTAATAAATGCATGACACAGTTTTCTAAGCCGTTGCACTAAACTTATTCTGATTATGGTCAATTTGTTTCTATATAATTTAAAATTGGAGATTACTGTGATCTTGGATCTATGCATTATGGTTATTATTGTTTTACTAATTTCATAATTCATATATGTAAAATTGTTGGAATCTAAATGTACCAATGTACATAGAAGACATGCAGATAGAGCTGAAATTTATAGTTTGATATTCTATACTAATGCTCAAATGACTTTCAGTTTCAAGTGATCATGTCTTGCAGCCTTAAAGTCAATTCTAAGTCTCCAAGCAATGAGAGACCTTGATGGTTCCTTGAATATAATCTTATAATAGATTTTCTATTCAATTGTAGATCTTTAAAGACAAGGCTCAATCTAGATTGAAAAAGACTGCTGACAAGCGTTGTAGTAATGGAACCTTGGAGGTAACTTATTCTATCATCTTTGTACCTACTTATATCTGTTACCTAACACCTTACCATTTTCATACTACTGTGTCTATACTCTTTCTTACTTTATGTAACCATTGAGCTTTAATTTCAATGAACTACACATTTTAAATTTTCATCAACATAGGAAATTGGCATTCTTGAGAACTAAAACTTTTGTAGATATGTTGAAGGTGGAATAGACTGAGTGTAAAAGGCTATTGGCAATACTGCCAAGGAAGCAAGGGCTCATATTGTAACAGGTGCAAAGGTATATTTGTCTGATTGTTATGAAAGCTATGATGGTAGCCATTTTTTTTCCATGATTAGTCTAACATGGGTTCAAAATTGGAATTTGGAAGTGGTTTTTATCCTCATTTGACTGCCTAAGAAGCTAAATGTGTATTGGGTTGAATATCTATGATAAATTGTATGGTGTTGAATCGCTGCCCAACAAATAATTCAAATAGGAAAATTTAATGTTTTGTTTTGAATGGTATCTTGATTTGCTTATGTTGCTGTCTTGAATGCTGCAATAATTGTGAATAAACTGAGGGCTATAATTTGATATGTGGAAAAAGAGAAGTAAAGCAAGTTACTGCAATTCCCAGTATGGCAACGCACTACTTATTGTACATGCTTAATCCCGCATGATATACCCAGCAGATATGAATTCACGTTTAATACATAATTGATATATGGTAAAGGTGTTTACTAGCAAAAATTATTGTCCATGCTTATTATTGGAACCAATTGTTTGTATGCCAAGAAGAGTTCAAGTCCTTCTATTTGCAGTAAAGGACATGATGTTGAATCTCCATATTATCAATCTCTTCAGAACTGTAAAAGAGTAACATGTAGCCATAGATTGATTCCTATTGAAGCTAGAACAACTTGGCTTTCTAGAACAACAATGTAAGGCTCAGTCACAACAACCTTTTGTCTGTTGTTTTCTCTATCATATCTTTTTTGGATGAAACATATAAAAACTACTTCTTTCTAATATAAGACAGCTAACAAACAACATAATATACTATATTTTGTTAGGTGCTATGATGATTCACCTGGCTAATATTTTGGAGTGATTCATAAATGATAACTAATACTCTCCTGTGTTTATTAGGGTTCTATGGTAGTTTCATAAAGTCATACTTTTATTGCTAGGTAACAAAGGTTTCTTAGTCATTTGTTTTTTCGCCCTTTTCCCATGTAGCTTGCCGGTGGTCTTTAATTGTTGAGTTCTGAGAAGGGAAAAGGCCGTAAAGGTATAGATAAGACCATTTCATCTATATTTCATGTTCATTGATTATTTATGTAATGTATATTCATTTTGGGTTCAGAAAATGGTGGTCAGAAAATGGTGTGTTCTCATTCATGCCGCTTCTAGGTATTCCAGTCAAGCTTTCTCATTTCAGCTATATGTAAGTATGGTTCTTTTTCTCTTTATTAGTAATCTTATAGAACAACCATTTCAATTTTAATTTCTTTAGCAACTCTAATGGCATCAGCTGAGTTGATAGTAGTCACTATAGAGCCACAGTAATCTATCCATTAACACTGCATGGTGGGATTAAGTTAATTAGTTCTGACGATTGGACACTTGCAAGTTAAGAAAAGAATCTCTGATTATTGCCAAAGGCTTGGCTGGAGCTTCTTCTTGATTCTCTCTACCCAACTGATGTTGTCAATACCATGATCAAGGTAGGTGACTACAAGATCCCCAAATTCTCTGGCTCCAATGATACGTTCAGAAGGATCCGTGGTTCACAGGGTGTAAAAGGCCTTTATAAGTGTTTTGGCCCTGCCATGGCTTGAAATGTCCCAGCCAATGCAGCATGCTTCTTGGCGTATGAAGTGACAAACCTGATTTGTAAAAGGCAGCTATCATGAACGAACTTGAAAAGCTGGTGAACAAGTGGGCTTTTGAAGCTATTAAGCATCAAAAAGAGGAGGATAGGAAAGTGGGCTGTTAAAATGTTAATTATCTTTCTAAGATCCAGGCTTTGATAATTTTTTTGTAGTGATTGACTGTGTCTTTTGGCAGGTGATTTAGTTTATTGGTTTTGTCATGGTGTGATTTGATATGCATAAATGTTCTTCTTTTATGGCTTATTATGAAAATTGTATGTTTTATTATGAAAATTGTATGCGTAGCAAAAAAAATAATGATAAAAAACACACACTCACACACACAAAGAAAGAAGGCAAAATTGCCATCATTAACAAAACTCATGCTGTGCTTAAAAGTCTTTATGGCTTCTTATGGGTGCTTATTCTCTTTGCTGGGTATTATAGTTTCTTAACTGAATTAGTTTGTTTAGAGATAAAGAATGCTAAAAAAACAAGAGAAGGTCTAGTTAAGGGGAAAAAAATAAGGTGCTATGCTAAAAGGAAATTTTAAATCAGTTCGTTGTTTTTATTATATTTCATTGCAAGTTGAGTTTAATTTCATAACATTTTCTTTTGCTAATTGTTCTTCTTGTATATCATCCTCCTCTTAAGTTTTGAATGTGACCCTTGATTGTTTGATGCTCAACTATAGATTCCTACAAAAAAAGAATACCTATTGATTCTTTAAGCTTTAGTGGTATTAATTTTTTGATCAAACTCTTTTCACTGCTATTTCTTTTTTTAAAAATTGTTATATTTTTAGCGAGGAGAGTTCAAAAAGGTAATGCATAAGCATATTTATGTCCTAAACTTCTAATATAAAGTTCATAAACTAACACAGAGTAGAAGTTTGCATGTTTACTAGGTTTTGTCTGCATTTTTTGCTCTTTAAAGTTTCAAATGGTAAAGGGTAGTCTACTTCCTTCCTAAATCCTCTAAAGCAAGAGATGTGAACTCAATCTGTTCTTATGCTATGGATTTTTACTTTCTGTGCAGTTCATGTCATGTTTCATGTTTTGATCTCAATTTTTGCAAATGATTAAATTTACTAGACACTTTCTGCTGCCGACCTCCGAGACCCAGAGATTTCTTCACTTATAGCAACTACAATGAGAGAGTTCCAGTTTGGAGATAAGAGGTTCCAAAGATATCCTTCTTTAGCAAAGATTGAGGTATGGATACGGTAATTTGAAATTGTGCTGATTTATTTTCCTTTTATTGGATTCAATTTGAAAGGCAAGTAAGTCAATGTGTTGATTTGCTTATTGCCACGGCCTGGCTAGTCTGGCCAAGAAGTTGTATTCCGCAGAAGATGCAGAATAATTTCAATTGGACACGCTAGAAGAGGAAATCAGGTTGCTAGAGAAAGTAGCTGTCCTATGACCATCAAGAGATTGGTTTTTGCCACATTGATTTGCAGTACGGTAACATAATGATGGACAAAGAAAGAAGAGCAATCACCATAATTGTAAGTCATACTCATACATGACATCTGTACTTTTGCAAGCACCTTTTTTGGGTTAACTTCTTTTTTTCAGTCATATGAAAAGGGCAACTTTAATTAGTTCATGTTTTGGACAATTCATGTTAGTTCACGTTGTTGGAAGTTCACATTATTGGAAAATATTTGCTAAACTGTGCATGGATGACACATTTTCTCTAAACTTTTTTTCTTTGATTTTCAAAGAGTCTTGAGTATCTTTTTTGTCTTTTACAAGCTTCAATTTTGATTCTCCCTATGAATCTATGTTTCTAAGATGGACCTATCTGTTCCCCTAATCTCCTAATGCTCTCAAAGAGGGTTTAGAGTTCAAGCTCACTGGTAAGCCCCAACTTTTCCTTATCCATTTCACTTCTGATGTTTACAAAATCTGTGAGATTTAATAGCTTCAAGTTGGTGAATTTGTCACTAATTGTGCTATCTTTGAGGGAATCTCGCAAATTTTGATGAGCATAAGTGTTTGAGACCTGGTCTTTTTGTGATTTCTTGCATGTTCTGTTTTGGGGATTTTGTTTTTATGAGGTTCAAAAGATACCCACCCAGATGGGCAATTTTGGCTAATTATGCATTTTAGACTTTTGAGGGGGCCATTGTACTTAAGAATTGGTTGTTTTTTGAGCTTATTTTCCTCCTTGAATGTACTGTTTCTTGAGTTTTAAGGTACCCATGCGATGATTGATTTTTTGAGTGTATAAAAATTCTAAATATTTTTGGATAAATGAATAATATATAATCATTAATGGGATAAATGAATAAATAATTATTAAAATTCTAAATATTTTTGCCTATCAAAACAGCCAAAATAAGCAAAGGAAAAGTAGAATGATTTCTTT